AGAATTTTAAAAAATTTAAAAATAATTAAAAACTGTTGTACAAATAGTTTGAGCTTAATTTCAACTTAATCCTTATATATAGCTTAGTTTCGATTTAATCTTATGGTTCCAAGAGTTTCAATTTGGTCGTCTCTACGACGATTCTAAAAGTTTCAATTTGGTCTCTACAACTTTGATTAAACCTTACAACTATGGTATCAAAACCATTTCTTACTAAAAAAACTACTCATTTTCCTTTATTTCATACTCAAATATAAACCCTAACACAGGTAGCGCTAACTACTAAAATTATAAAACTCAAACTCATAACCAAAATAAATAGAAAACATGTGAGAAATAATTTGTCAATTGAAACTTTATAATTGAAGTTAAACCCAAATCATAAGAATTAAAATGAAAATTTTGAAACATAAGGACTAAATTTATAATTTAACAAAAATAAATAAATAATTTGAAAAATATTTATTATAGTTATCTTTTAATTAATTAACCATAAGCAGAAAATAGTTGGGTAGAGATATTTTGGTTGGATTTTGATTCCATAAGGAAAAAACATATGAAGTCATGAAGGAAGGGCATCTTAGCTTTAACCATGTTGGAGTTGTCAAGTACTGGTTGTACTTTGGGGCTAATTTTGGAGGGTATTTATGACTTTTTTGCATAATTATTTATTATCAACATCTTGGCCAAATTTAAGTACAATTTGTCATTTAGGATGTAAAGTTGGTTCCTATATTTATAAGAATATTTTTTGTTTGCTTAGTTTTGAATTTGGAAAACTTTCTTTTAATGTAAAGTTAGGTTGTTTATATATTACCCATTTCGAATAGCCCTAACTTTTGGTTTGGAGACATGTTTGGCATCCGTTTATTTTATTTTCTATTTCTATCATACTTTTGACCTAAATTTGTAACACCTTCTTTTTTCTATTTCTAACATATACTTGCCTCCACCTTATGTCAATTACATCCCTAATTTCCCTGTTTTGTAATCATCCATCTCTAAAATTATTTTCAACTCGCTTATCATTATGGAATTAGTGTGGGTTTAAAACACCCTACTTTCTTCCCGACATATGCATAGTTTAATTGGTCAATATATATTTTGATTCGAAAAGTCACTCATGGTTCCTTACTTTCTCTGATTTCTACAACTGTATATCGAGTACTGAGATATACGAAGAAGAAAGCATGTTCACGAAGGGAGAGTGTTGGGATTTCGTTCGATAAGGTACTAACCTCTTGTAGCGTCACAGTGGAATCCATGAAAACGAAGTCACGGTCGGAGATCAATCACGAACGGAAAAATCTCATGATTTACCGCCTGAATTCTTCAAATGGTGAAGAATTTTGAGACAATCCAACTCGGTTCTTTCTCTGTATTTTTTTTCAGAAAACTCTCTCTTTGTTCTCCAGGAAAAATCCTGACGTATGACACACACACCCAGTGAGAGAGATTGACATAGATTTTTGATTTGTACAAATGATACTTTTAAGCTTGGAACGAACATGAAAAAATTAATGAGACTTTATTTATTTTTAAGTTGTTATGGTGGGATCGATCATTCAAGATCTCTGGTCTCTATTCGGACCCAACAAAAAAAAATATGATCGCTTCTTATGGAATCCTTGAGAATGATTATGAAACTAGTTACAGAATAATCTAAAATCTCTCTCAATTTTGAGAATTTGTGATGTTTCTAGGTCAATTAGAAGTTTGACTTGATTCTTCCCCACCTTTTAGCGTTAGGGACCCTAAAAAGAACTCCTTGAAATAAAAAAGAAAAGAAAAAATTAAGTCATATATTAGTTACCTCCTTAAAGACTTTTCATGTCATTCCCATTTAGGTCCGATTCGGATCCCTCCCTAGAGAGAATGCAAGATAGACTGACCCACAATATTTTTTGCCCTTTCTTATTATTAGTAAGGGGCGGAATGACCTCTCGATCTATTTACAGCTGCCCAGGAAGAAAAACGTCGGTAATGAAATGATATAAGTGTCTTTTAGGACAACCTCTCTCATCGTCATGGGTCCTTTTGACAGAACATTCTCAGCCGCTCAAGAGTCAAGAGCGTGTCAGAGGTTATCCTTGCCTCTTATTTGTTGAACTAAAAACGTTGAATAAAAAAATAAAATTAAAAGAAAAAAATATTTAAGTTTGTTGAAGTAAAAAGAAAAAAAAAATTGTAATTTGCTGTTATCTCAAGCATAAATGCATTGCTAGTGCTATTATATTCCATTGGCTCTAAATCCAAAAATTTTTAAAACGTGTTGTCCTCTAATTAACCGCTTGATATTTGTTCAAAATGTTTTTTCTTTTTTTCTTTTTTTTTTTAAATCTAAAGGTGTAAACCGTCGATCGTAGTTCCCATTAAATATTCCGGGCCGATCGATATCTATGGGCCAGATGTCAAATTGTGAAGCCCAGTACTTTTGGATCATCGAGAGGCCCAAGTTTCCAAATTTGAACACGTAACTGAATTTGTGTCGGCCCATCATTAATTGCTGGGAGGCTTACTGTTTTGCTAACTATTTTATTTTCATTTTTGTCACCCAGATGTCGGTTCCATTCCAATCATTTGTTTTTCTTATTCTTTTTCTCGTAGGATCAATCATTTTTCTTTTTGGCACAGAATTATGTGAAGGAGAAATAATTTGGTTAATTATTGGACGATTATTGTCATTTGTTTCAACCAATTGAAGCTGGCGCCGCGTCTTTTTTTTTTGCCACTTCCAGGCAAAATCATGTTCTTCATGGTTACCTTTTTACTTTATATTATGAGAGATAATTTATTTCATATCATATCCACCTTTATCTCTATCACTAGAGACCCAAGTGGCAATTTTAATGTTTTAAATTTTTTACCTTTTAACAACTAAAAAAAACAATCTAAAATTGTGAAATTCAAGAAACTATTAGTTAAGAAAATAATTGAAAGAAGAGAAAATTAATCAAATGGTCTTTTTATATATAATTTAATTTTGAATTGACGCGCTCAGGTAAACTATGTATTAAATGAAAATGTTTTTCTTTTTCTTTTTTTTAATTTTAAGAATATAATTGGTAAAGGTATAATGGGCCCCAGAGGCCCATGAAGGAGAGTTCGTAAATCTCATAAAAGGCCATAATGGGGAGGGAGTAGGGAAGGGCAAATTTGGAAAAGAAAAAATGAAACGACCGTTACTGAATTTGGAAGGCTGAGCTCGAACAGGGAATAAAGAGTTTAATGTGAGAGATTGGTGAGCCGCGCGGGATATCTCATATCCCATTCTGATTTCTGACAGCGCCACGTCGTTCCTTTTAAAACGGAATTTAACTTCAGAAGCCTTCGTTAAATACAATACAACTAGTTCGATTATTTATTATTATTATTTTTTTTTTTTTGGAATTTGAGGTTCAAATCTCTATGTATCAAATTTTTGTTTTAATAAAAAAATTGTTTCGTTGTATTGATGAGATGATACTCCCAATGTAAGAATCTTGAAAACTAAAAAACAGTTTATGGACAATCTCTTAGGATATTACATTTCTATTCTAGAAAACAAATGTGGAAATATAGATATATGTTAAATGAAAATCTTAAATTTGTACTAAAACCATGCATCGTGGTCTACTTTAATGAACACATTTTTTTATTTAGTTGAACGGGTTAAAATTTTTATAAAGAAATTGAAATAAATTATAGTTACACGAATTGAGTCCAAAATTTAAAAACCAAATTAGTTGTCTATTCTTAAATTTAAAAACCAAAATTCAAAAGAGAGAACACTCGACAAGAGTTGAAATAGGAATTGGCTCCATGGATCTTTTGGAATATTAAGAACAATTTTTTAATACAATAAATGGGGCGAAAAAAGAATTGTAGCTCACTATATGGTAATAGATGATTAATGATTAAGTGGTTGAAGTTTAGATTACATTACACGAGTATAATTCAATTAGTATATTTTTCCAATCAAGAAATTGTGAATTCACGTTGTATTAAACAAATATATATATTATTCATTGAAATTCGAAATTGTAATTAAATATTTTTTAAAAATCAGTACCTAAAAATAAAAATATTTGGGTACGAAAGAACGTGGTTTGCAGGGAAGAGGAGCGGACAATAGCGGGAGCGGCGGGCACATGAGTTCTGATGAATCTGCGTCAGCCGCTCCTTATTTTGTACTACGCGTGAGGTTTCTAAAAACGACGTGTCGGTTCTAAGCCACTTTGGTTTACTTCACGATTTCGCGAAGCCATATAGAGCCGTTGAATGCGCACCTTTTCCGGATCACGTCGTGTCCTAGTTCCGATTTGTCGTTTTTTGTTTTTGACCAAATCTCTCGCACTTGCCGTTGGTACCGTTTGATTTATACGGGGGCCCAGTTTGTTCCCATGGCCCATTTAAGAGTACTGGACGGGCCCACCAGCGAGGGAGATTCAAGATCTTGACACGTGGCGGGCTTACCAAAGCTTGGCTCCACCACGAACCGTTCGATTTGGTTGTCGAGAAAGGTCGGAGGAAATTTGAATGAGATCTTATTAAACCATACTATAACAAACAACCGACAGTTACACTGTAGTTAAAGAAATAGAAAAATAACAATACTTTTTTTTTAGATAGTTACATTCATGACCTAAAATAAATATGAATTTAGCATAAAGTTTTAAAGTACTTCTATAAATGTTTTTACAAAAAAAAAAATCCTAAAAAGACCTTTTGATTATCTAACTAATATTATTAAAATTCACATTTTGTTTAGTTTTCCCCTTATTTTATTTTTTAAAATTTTAACTAAAACCAAAATAAAAATTAAGCTATTTTTTATATCAATAAATATGGACAGAGGATCCAACCTTTAATCCAACTAAGTTTAGGCTAGCAATCAAATTTAGTATTAATTAAAGGAAATTTCATAATTTTACAGTTAAAGCCCCTAAAATATGGGAGAAAAGTACAGATATAAAGTGATAATTTTAAGTTTAAAGTTTAAAGTTTAGAGGCAATAGAAGATTAAAAAAAAAAAAAAAGAAGGAAATATGATTTCAGGTAGATCGCGGAAATCAATAAAGGCGGATCAAAAAGAAAGATCCCATCCTTTTCCCGATGGATCAAACACAGCTTTTCAGTTAAAAATTAAAAAAGAAAAAAAAAGGCAGCCAATGACAACCCATCCACCTCCCCCTTTACACACAACTTTCTCTTCACTAATCTAATACCCAATAACTTTAATCATTTTTATTATCTATTATTTTTTTTTTCAGGTGACCAAGTAAATGGGCATGGGCGCTGACGTGGACATTCTGTATTGCTGCTGCTCCATGTTGAGTTCCCGGAGGCTGAGGTAAGGGATTCCGGCGAGCGGGCCGGAGGAGGGGCGGGTGGTGGACCGGTACGGCGTGCTGGACCCGCTCTGGCTCTCGGTAATGTAAACCGGACCGGAGACGGAGGCGCGGAAGGCTCTGGCTCTGGCCCGGTGAACGTCCTCGGAAACGGCGTCGTTTCGGAGGGTTTGTTGGATCCGGTTCCATTTGAAGAAGAGGAGAGCGTTTTTCCACCACCGCTGCTTCTTCTTCTTCTTGTTCTTACTGGTTTCGTCTTTGGAAATGGGCTTTTGGAGCTTGAAATGAATGGAGTCTATGGATCTTGAAGACTCGCGTTTGTGCTTCCGAGCCTCTTCCAAAACCTAAAACAAAAACAAAATCCAGTCGAATCAATGGAATCGAGAAATTTGTTTAGAAGAAAAAGGAAGGGAAAATGAACCTGAAAATAGTCGATTTGGGGGTCGAAGCCGTAGTCGCTGAAGTGCTGGGGCTCGGGGAAGGGGAAAACAGGGGATTTGCTAGACATTTTTCAGGAAGATCACGAAGAACAGATTTTTTTTTTTTGGGAGTGGGAATTTGAAAAAGCGAAGTTGGATTTAGATTAGATGGAGAGAGAGAAAGAAAGTTGGGGAAGTGGAAAGGGAAACGGAAGGAAAAGGGAGTTTTATTTATTTATTTATTATTTTATTGGGTTTGGTTTTTGGGGCTCAATGAAGAATTGCAATTTGCAAGGTGGGAGAGGCCGTTGGCATTCACAAACCCTAATAAATGCTCTCTTTGCTTGGTTCCGTCCAACTTCACGCCTATTATTTATTTTAATCCTACCCTCCACGACACTCTCCTTCACTTATCCAATTCTTTGCCCATAATTTATTTATTTTTTATTACCTTTGAATGCTCTTATCGACTGCTACTATGCACACAAAAAAATAGCAAACAGTCATACTCCTCTAACTAAAAATACATTTCCTACGTACAACAATGCAACAATTTATACTGATTCATCCAACTTATGGCTATATTCAATCTTTCACGATGTGCGGGTTCTACTATGTTTTGGATAATACAATGGATCACATTCTACAAAACTTTCTCTAAAGGCCACAATAATGACCAGAAGTTACTATGCCAATAATTACTTAAAATTACAAGAATGAAAACACCCCCACTGATTTACGAGAGTAGGTTGCCAACAACGCCCCACATCCCAAAACACTCGTTATTTGTCCTCACGCAAGCAGCAACTTGGTTCTGCACACTTAAAAAACAACAAACAGATGTATTTATTCATCGCGACAGTACTGCGGTGCTACAAACTTAATGTTCCGCCTCGCACCGCGTTGTGACAGTATTGTGGCATTGTCCTCTTGGCCAAATTGGCCATGCAGCCCGCTTCTTCGATTCTCTTTCATTTTTGCCTTGTCCTGATCCGACACGACACCATTTTGACTCCATAATCTCAACAATGTCCTCTTTGTTTTAGTTCATTTTAGTTAATATAATTTAAGACATCCATCTTCGTTTATGTACGATTTTGGTCTATTTTAACATATATATTTTTGAAATATTCATTTTAATCTCTATACTTAGCACAATCCTATTGTCATTAAATTGATTGTAATGTAGCCGGGTTTCTGTCAGGTATATAATTTAGGTTGAAAATTTGCAAACATGAACTAAAACAATTGCTTTTTAAAAAGTGGGACATTTCAACTACAATGAATAATAGTTTAATATACAAAAACTGAAATAAATATTTTGAACCAAAAATAGTATTTTATTATTTTTCTTATTATTGAGCATTTAGATTAAAAAAATGTAAGACGTGAGCGCACTACACGTTCTACGTTTTTTCAGAGGTTTAAGATTTGAATTCTCTACTACTTTATTATACATTTGAACAAAAAAAATAAATTTAAAATCATAAATTGTTTTTTTTTAATATTATAACACAAATATTTTAACTGCAATGTCACAGAGCAGGTCGAGACATACAAAATTTAGTGTTGAACTTCTTGACATTTTTTTAAAATATCGGTTCAAATCTAATAAATTTTAATTTTGTGCAGTTTTGGTCAATTTGGTGGTTGTTTGTTTCCTCAGCATGTCAAATTGTTGATTCGATTGTTTTTTTTTTTTTTTTTGCAGAATTATCCACCCAAAATTGAGAATAGCTATAAATTCAATTATACATTAATTTCTGGTAAGATAATTTTTATTTGTCTCCTTTTTTTTTAAACAAAACCACCAAATAAACATTGATTTTTTAGTTATATATTGGAGAAACAACAATATAACATAGAGGGGCTTATTGGAATTTTTGTAAGGAGAAAATGACTTGTTGATATATTTATTATGCGTTGAATCAAATTATACTTATTGAATGAGTTTTAATTTTGGGTAAGTTGTACATTTTGTCCCTAAAATGCCCAACTTTCAGAATTTGACCGTTTTAGAAGTTCTAATTGTAATTGCTAATAATTTTAGTTGGTTTTGCAGTAGCAATCACCTATGCCTACACGACATTCATTAATTTTTGTTTTTACTGACTTTATAATGCTAAATATGTTGGCAAAGAACATTCAAAAAGTAATTTTGCATTTTTATTGATCTTACAAAAACTTGTTACCACCCGCTGGTGTAGCCTGGTGGGCTTGTAGTCGAATGGGGAAGCCAGTTTGAGCTCCATGGGTCTGTAGCTGGGATTTCCCCCATTCAGAGACGAGTCCCACAATGTAAGTTACCGTAGTGAATGATTGTTAACACCCCGATTATAGAAAACCTCTTGGTGGAGGCATCGATTCCGGGTTAAAAAAAAATCTAACAAAAACCTGTTGTACGGAATCAGGAAAATGGTATGAGATTGAGTTAATAAGAAAGTGAATGGACAGCAACAGTTTGAGCCCAATGCTCCTATTGTTCACTGTGAGGATGATTGGCAATATTTTAGTGCTAAAGCTGAAGGAATTAAGAATATTATAAAGTCAATGAATCCTCATCAATCATGAACATCCTTAAACATACACCTTTTTCAGTCAAGTAAATGGGAGTCCTGTGTCATTAACGTCTTTAAAAACTCGAGTTGGACCAATCGGTACTCGCGGTTATCTGATGGGATAACCCGAAGAAGACTGAGCTTTTGTCCTATGGACAGCATGCTTAACGTCCGTCTTTTGGGGACTTTAGAGACACAGATCCAATACGATGATGTTATAAGTTACCACCCAAACTGGATTTTCATGTTACTAATATATACACTAAATTATGACGGAAATATACATAATACAGCTTGATTGGATCTTCCCATTTCTGCAGGTGACCTATAAGGGTTGGTATATGACACACTCCACTAGTTTATCAGATATGGTTATCTACATATTTACAGTATTCATCTACTTATCAACTGGATTGCCTGCCTTATCTGTCTTACTTTTAGTTTTGGTCAACTTGCTAGCTGGATAATGCAATCTGGCTAGCAGAGGACGAGGTGCCCCGGTTTTTTTATCGAAACCCCGTACACAAACATAACCTGCAAATTAATTTCACCCACTTGTGAGAAATACAGAGAATGTTTTATCCTCTTCCGTATAGCTAGAAAGAGAGAGTCAGAGAGAGTCGTGTGGTTAACCAAACGACTTTAGGCACTCCCTGTCGGGTTGTAGGAAGTTCTGTAAGGATGCTCCTCATACTTCTATCTTTTGAGCCACAGTTTTTGAGTACACATGAATCTGTCTTCTTTATCCAACAACATACAAAAGGGGTTAGAGAATGTGTTGGTGCTCTTTTCTTGATCACCAAAAGTTGAAGTTCCTTTTTGTAGTTTTTGATATTTTTGGTTAACTCAATTTAGTCGTGCTTGGTTTTTCTCGCTTGTCCCCCCTTCTCATGAAAGTTGGGGTAGGATGAGGTGGCTTCGATCTCAAATATTTATGGCCGACCAAGGCTTGGGGAGAGGAATGAGGTTTTATTGGCAGAATTTGTTGGCCTCTTAGGCCACTTCCAAGGAACTTGGTGCTCGAGACGACTTCGACATAATTCGATGGTCTCATGAAATTCAATAGGGGTAGAGCATGAAGGAATTTCCATAGTTTTGAACAACGAAAGATTTACTTTGCAGCATGGCTAGTACTACACAGGTTCTAACTTTTTCGGTCTCGAAAGAATGGACTGAAATGTTCAAGGAGTTTCAATCCTCCAAGAAGGTCAGAATTCTCATACTATTTGTCCATTTTACTCTAGAAACTGGGAACTTTTTGTGAGGTCATTCTCCCTTCCAATTTAAAAAACAAAAGGGTGGGCTACAATCACATCTCTAACCTCCACAATTGTGTAGCTAACGACCCGACTCAAGAGGCTCTGCCACCTACTATCCGTCTACCCAATACCCCACCCAAGTCAATATAAATACATGCTCGAGAATTAAGATAGACCATTCGAAAGTTCAAGGTAGACAGTTTGAAAGTTAGGAACCAACCTCGAATAATGGGACCAAAATGAGATTTAAACCTAATACTTTTTATCAGAAAACTTTCCGAGCGTCCCAAATATTTGTAACATTGAAGCATCAAGAAATGACTTCGGAACCTTTGTGAAAACAAATAATAGAAATTTGGGAGAAACGATCATTTTCTTAACATAGTTGAAAGTACAGATGATTGTGACATCATATATCCTTCACTTAAACTAAACAAACTTAGCTTGAAGGATAGTTTTTAAACAATCAAGACATCATGGAGAGTAATTTTTTTAAACAATCAAGACATCATGGAGAGTACTTTTTCAAAATTAAGGAACCAACTTTAGAAACTTGAATCTAATTCAAGTTTGTTTGCCTTTTAGCACATCAATGAGTTGTAAAAGAAAATAAATGTCTGCATCATATTTTCACCTTTTTTTTCTTATTTTGTGTGTAAGAAAAAATTTCATTGATGTATGAAATTACAAAAAGCCTGTCGATCGGTTACATAAAACACTTCCAATTAGTCCAGAGGGAAGTGTAGCTATAGTGATGAAAAATATTTTCACCAAATTTTTGAGTTAGCTTGGAGGGAGAATGCCAATTTACCAGCTTGTGCATATGGCACAACCAGATATTGCAGATAGAGAGGTGTCAGTTGTAACATTAACATAATCAACTAGTGTATTAGCATGTATGATGCATCTGTAACTTTTAGCTTTATTTCACTTTTTAAGGAATTGAATTTGATTAAATATACTCCTAATAATAAAAAGGAGTTCAAAAAAACTCTTCAATAGACTAAGTTAGATACTCTTACCTCTCCAGAAGCAACCTTGAATCTCTTCGGTTGATAAACCTATTACATGAAAAGTGCATTCTAAGTGTCTCTACAAGACTAAAACGACATAATAAACCCTTTACAGTACATACCCTTGAATATAGTTGGTATGGAGGTTCCGAAGTACACTGTCCGCCTTACGAGATTCCACAACCATTTCCTAGGAACATCAATTGGGTTAAGGCTAGAATCATGGTCGGCAAATACCTACATAAGAATGATTCCTCTGTTAGTTCAGCTTCAAGTATTTACACAATCAACATTCATGGCATGTTAGATTTCCTTATTACCTCATTAACTTGAAAGTAAGTTCCATTTAGCGGGAAGCTTCCTCTCATTGCAGTTCGACATGGAATCTGTACTTATAGTTGGTTAGCTATTAGCCTAGTGAGATATACCGCAAATTAGCTGCTCTTATACTCACCAAAATTGTTCCTCTAACAACTTGGGAGTCAGCTTCTCTAACACTATTGCATGAGAAACAGTCCTTTTCTCCACACAATCGGCCACTTTCTTGAGAACTACATTGTGTATGTGGTAGTTCAACAGAATTTGCTGTTTCACCTGACAAAATACCAGCAAGTTTATTGCATATTACAAAGCATCAATGAGTTTATAAGTTTACCTTCTTAGCATGTTTTCTAAGAATGTAAAACTAGTTTGTATTGAGAGTATATTAGTCAATTTTCAATGTTACCCGGTGTCCATATGGCAAGAAGGTAGAAGCATGGATCATCGGGTTCACGTCGCTCCATCTTTAACTGTAATTTGAGAGTAGTTAAACAATTGGACAGTCTTTAACCGAAGAAAGAATAAACAATTGGACAATCTGCTTCACATCACTCCATCTAACTGTAAGAGTAGCTAACCTTTTCTAGAAGAGGATGGGAGTCCGGAAGTTCGTAACTGCATGATGGTAAAATACAATCACATGGTTAAATAATTCTGAAATAGATAGCAATTCTAGTAAATCTAATAATTTGTTTTCTACACTAACAAACTATTTCAACATTACTTTGTTTTCTCCTATTATTCCTTTAACTGAGAAGACATCTCATGGTTAAATATTTCATGTTTTTGAGCTGGGAACTGTGTACTTACACTAGATGCTCTGTTCTCAGCCGACCGATATTTTTAAGCTTCGGCATGGGGATCGATGCAGCTTCTGGGCTTAGGACAACAAGTGCCTTCGACATGCTACCTTCCTGAAGTTCCACATTTTCTTGTATGTAATTCTGTACGTTCTTAGTGAATGCTTCAATATTAAGCTTTATTGTAGGAATCTCATCAGGGTCTTCACATAAGGTATCCATGTCCTCAATGTCATGTTCAGAAATCTGTGGGCATTCTGGCTCTGGTGTTGCTGGTTCTTCAATAATGGGCTCAATGTTACTTACTCTAGATCTCACATTAAAGTGGTTGATTGATTGCTGATTCTTTTCAGTTGGCTCTGATGCCTGAGTGAGAGCCAACGGCCGCTGATCAACAACTTCAGCCTGGTTTACATCAGCTTTCCTTTCGGTTGCAATAACCAAACTCTTCTCTTCTGGCGCTGGCAGTGCAAGCCTTGCGCTGCATGAATGTCAAAATTTTGATTTGTCAATACTTGTATTTTGTAGTGAACTACTTTTTCCTCCCCAATTTTACTTGAATGGTTGTAATGTAAGGAGGGTTGAACCAACAAACTTTGAAGCAGATAAACATGTCAATGGTAAACAAAAATTCTGAAATGCATTAAATGGTTGAAATATCACATGAAACTCATGCATGAGATGACATTCACTTGACTTAATCAAGTAATTATCTTTATGCACCTTTTTTTATGTTTAAGGATACCCACAAAGTTTGAAGTAGATGAATTTTTTATTTAATTCTAATTATATCGAGAAAGAGGTATATTTACTTTATCAAAAAAAATAAATAAATAAATAAAAGAAGAAGAAGAAGAAGAAGAAAGAGCTATATTTATAATATAGAATTTTATGACAGTAAACTAGAATAAGAAAATATGTAGAATTAATTTTAAAACATTAAATGAAGGTATTGTCTCACAAAAATTAGGACGTTTGAGGATAATTGCATGCAAAAAAGATTTGCCAAATCATGAGCACATTTGGGAAAAAGTCAGGAGACGGACTTGCCAGTAACATTAAAACTTAAAGAAGGCTATACCTAACATTCTTACTTATCCAATGCAATATGAATCCAGTGGAAGTGAGAAATGCAAACCTGGCAAATGCACTTGCAAAGTGTCTACACTCTCCTCTCAATGGACAAGCATTGCAATTTGGTTTCTTTTTTGTGCAGAAGACCTGTATCAGAGTATGCTACTTAGTTCATCTCCCGGAATAACTTAACGAAAGAACAGTTCAGTGTGGAATGGCTACCTTTCCAAATGTAATCATTTGGTAATGCAGCTCATACCTATGAGCAGAATAGTAATGGTCAGTTACAAAATAGTATTGATAATCAATTTGTTATTGTCAGTCTCCCATGAAAAATCAGGAAATAAAAATAAATCTGTTAAAGTCTAATACGGTATAATGCTCTCTTACAATGTTGTTTGGTCAAGCTTGCAGAGTCTTGGCCAGAGATACTTTTGAATGGACTCAAGAACTGGGTATCTGCAAGGACACAAAATATTATTTACCGTTCCTAGAGCATACTAATTCTAGAAAATTTAAGATATAAGCTCTCATTTGACTACTGACAGCTCCAAAAGATGCAATTGCAGTGACTCAGGCAGGGGTTGAAGGGGTACCCATCCCAACCTTACAGCTATGCGTCCAACATTAGTATCTACCTG